ATAATGTAGTAAGAAAAAAATCCTATGATTCCTTTTGACTTTGTGACAATTTAGAAGCTATTAAGTAACATCTGCTTTCTTGGAACAGAATATAGGAACAATTAAGTTTTCAGGAGACACTTAATTGCAAATTCAATGGCTTTATCTTACTCTGTGTGAGTATGCTTTAGAGGTCACACTGGATGGTGTGGTATAATCACATACTGCTTAAAGTATTAAAAAATGCTAGTGGAATCAGGAGGGGAAAGAATGTAGTTTCTTTACATGTTTAGCTTTTGCACTGAATAGTTTCCTTGAAATTGTTAAAGTATGTCAGCTGTTTTATATACTATATGATGTTCTCACAGGTCTATGGTTTTGTAGTAAGGCGACTTTAATTTTTCTTTTTGAAAAGCTTTTATTCAGTGTTGGAAAACCTAAAACATTTTATTAATGTCTCTCCAGACAGATATAAGAATCTTCCAACAGCTTCCAGAAAACTACAGTTCCTGGGCCTGCAGAAGGAGTTAGTTGATGATTTCAGGATACGATTAACTCAAGTAATGAAGGAAGAGACTCGAGCTTCCTTGGGATTCCGATACTGTGCAATCCTTAATGCTGTTAACTATATAGCAACAGTGTTGGCAGACTGGGCTGACAATGTAGTAAGTAGTTATTTTATTGAAATTAAAAAATGGAAGTTGGATGTTTGTAGATATTGTATTGCAAGATAGTAGCACTGGAATAGGCTGCCCAGGGAGGTGGTGGAGTCTCTTTCTCTGGAGACATTCAAAACCCGCCTGGAAATGTTCCTATTCAACTTGCTCTAGGTGGACCTGCTTTGGCGGGGGCGTTGGACTAGATGATCTCCAGAGGTCCCTTCCAACCCCATGTGATTCTCTGATTCTGTGATTCTGTTTACTTTTCCAAACATTAAAGAGGTCAAAATCAGGGGGTTTTCTTTAGGCATTCTGCTGCCAATCTTAAAATAGCTTTTTAATATTTCTCTAGATCTATTCCCATTACCTATCTGCTGTTGCATCTGAAACTAGGATTAAAGCACCATGTTTTGTTTTTCACTAAATCAAGACAGAAAATGTTTTTTAAATCTTAAAATTTTAAGTTTATAACTGTGTCAGGAGTGTGTTTTCTAGAACCATGCATATTAAAGTACCAATGGAAAGTTCAAAATGGTAAGATTGTTTTTTGTATCGTTCATACCTGGTTTTGTTTCTCTAGTTCTTCTTGCAGCTACAGCAGGCGGAGCTGGAGGTTTGTGCAGAGAGTGAGAGTGTCAGTAAACTACAGCTGGGGCAGCTGGCCTCCATGGAGAGCTCCGTCTTTGACGAAATGATTAACCTCTTGGAACGCCTGAAACACGACATGCTGACTCGCCAAGTGGATCATGTCTTCAGAGAGGTGAAAGATGCTGCAAAGCTGTACAAAAAGGAGAGGTGATTCTGTCTGCTTACTCTCCTCTCCCATTGCAATATTATTTCCTGTTGCAAATATGGAGATAAATAAAGGTAGCTTTACCTTTAGAAGTAAGCTAATAGAAGTAGCTAATAATAGCCAAAATTATTTTCCTGAATAGAAATGGCACAGGGTAGTAAGTTTTGGAAAATTGTCTTAATGATTACTTCAAGACTATTTTGATATTATGTTTTCTAAAGGAGTTCCACAATCAGTGGGGGCATTATCTTAAAAATCCTGGGAAGATTTAAAAATCCTGAAAAGGAAGCTGAGGGGAGACCTTATCGCTCTCTACAACTAACTGAAAGGAGATTGTAGAGAGGCGGAGGTTGGTCTCTTCTTCCAAGTCATAGGCAATAGGACAAGAGGAAATGGCCTCAAGTTGCACCAGGTGAGGTTCAGATTGGATATTAGGGAAAATTTTTACGCTTAAAGGGTTATTAAGCATTGGAATGGGCTGCCCAGGGAGGTGTTCAAAAGACGGGTTGACATAAAGCTTAGTGACATGGTTTAGTGATGGCTTTTTATTAGAGTTCAGTTGATAGTTGGACTAGATAATCTTAAAGGTCCCTTCCAACCTAGATAATTCTATGACTGTATAAGAATTCTGGATCACTCTAGTTTGGATAACAATCATTTTCTTCATAGTAATGTTAAAGAGTTAATATGAAATGGCCTGTAATGACTGTTCTGTCTTCACAGACTCGTAGGGCTTCTTGAATGTCTGCTCCAGAGTAGAATTTCTGAAGTACTTAATGAAAAGAATACAACAACTCAGTCATTTTCCTAGGTTAGATGGGGCTTCTTTCAATGGCACATTCAGAGATTTATAACTAAAGCATGAGTTTAATATTAAATGAAATTTAAATGTACATTAGATTCTGACTACTTCTAGATTTGAAATGGGAAAGGAAAACTCTCTCTGAGCCATGGTAAATGGGCAAGATTTTTTTTTTTAAAGGATAATTTTAACTTCAGTTATTGTAATATGAATAATTTCACTATAATGACTTCAGTGTGTTAATTTCTTTCAGGTGGTTATCTTTACCATCTCAAGCAGAGCAAGCAGTAATGTCTTTATCAAGCACAGCTTGCCCAATGTTGTTGACCCTACGAGACCGCTTGCTACAACTGGAACAGCAGCTCTGCCACTCGCTGTTTAAAATCTTCTGGCAAATGCTTGCAGAGAAAGTGGATTCATACATATATCAGGAAGTAGGTATCAGCAGAACGTGACCTGTGCAATGCAGTGTAGGTGTCAGTGACGGGCCTAAACAACAGATGCACCTCTGTCTTTGCAGATAATTATGGCAAATCATTTCAATGAAGGAGGAGCGGCACAACTCCAGTTTGACATGAGTAGAAATCTGTTCCCTTTGTTTTCACACTACTGCAAGAGGCCAGAAAACTACTTCAAGCAGTAAGTAGGCAAACTTCTGATCTTCTGGTATTTCAAAAGTGAACGTCCATATGAATAGATGTGTTTTACTTATCACCAAGACTTTTTCACAGTTAGTTTTGATCCACACTTGAAATATGCAGCTCATTTATGCTTCCAGTATTTATGACTAGGGAAGTTTTGATTCCGCAGCGTGTACTCAGCAGCAGACTGGGGCATGTGTTCTGGGGCATTTTGTGCAGTCAGGATGTCTAGATAAATTAACTTACAGAAGGAATATAAGTAGCATGGACTTCTGAAACTGGGGCCAAAGAAACTACTCAAAGATACAGTTACAACACAAAAACCTGTCTTTCTTCTAAGAATAAAAAATACTTTAAACTCTGTTCCTGCTCAGAATTGCCTTGCATAGCAGCCTAGTTGCTTTCATTGATGAGAAGCTGCTTTCTCTGTGGTTAGTCTTTTTCAAATAGTCTTCTAAAGAGTCCAGTGCTAAAATCCTAACCTAATTGGGGCAGAAATCGTCATATTTCTAAATCACTGTGGAGCATAGCATTCAGTCTTGAATGTTTGAAGACAAAGATTATAAATTGGCATTTTAAAATTCAAATATTGATGTAGCATCTTCAGGTTTAAGTTTTTATTGAACACATCCCTGTCATAAAGATAATCAATACATACAAATAAAGAGGACACAGATGCGCAAAGGAACCATAAAAAATAATGCACAATGGCTATCTATATGGCTATCTAACATATCTAGACTAGAAACAATGTGACAAAGACAGGGTATCTGTTTGTTCCGTAATGATATTAGGGAAAACGTTCACATTCTAGCAACTGTCTGTTAAACTGTGCTCATAAAATAACTGGAAAATTCTTATTCAGTGTATCTTAGGGGAAAATGTAGTTAGGGAAAGGTAGACAGATTAAGTGGTAAATTCTATTGTGTGTTTTTAATACCAGTGGGAAAACTTAAGAAGCAGAAGCCAGGCCGAACACTGGGATGCTTATGGAATATACATCCATAACGGAAAAGGCTTAGACAGTAAGAACAAGTATAGCATTTCCTTTGATCTAAAGAATTACTTTACAGTGCAATAGTTTTGATCCTTTTCAGAAGTCTGTGAAGGTTTTTTTGTTAATAACTGTGTGCACAAAATTAAGTGTATCTCATGGATGCTTCTCATACTGATTCATACGACTTTTTCCTCTAGCATAAAAGAGGCCTGCATTATCCTGAACCTGAATGTTGGCTCTGCCTTGCTTCTGAAGGATGTACTACAGTCAGCTTCAGAAAATGAACCAACATTAAAGCCAAACCAGCCATCTGCAACAGCAGCCCTAAATGAACTTGGCATTTATAAATTAGCTCAAAAAGATGTTGAGATTCTTCTCAATTTGAGAGCTAGTTGGCCAAATACAGGAAAATAAAGACTTCTTTAGAAATGGTGCATAACTTGGTCTAGATTACTGATTTCAAACAAAAGCGAAACTAATATGTTGTAATATACTTATTTTTGTTCCAATCTGTATGCTGAATGACTGATTTAATCTAATCTTATGCCTTACTGTATGCAATTTCAAAAAAAATTGCAAAATGTTCCTGGCTTGGTTTCAAGCTGCACAGATCTTATTTTCCGCAGCCACCTTGCCATTGCATTTAGAAGCTAAAACTGTCTTCATCCCTAATGAATATGTCTGCCTTGTCGGTGTTATGTGCTGTAACATCATTCGAAGGAACATTTACAGTGTAAATACACCTGTGTACAATATGGACAACTCTTCCTTCTGCACTGGTGTAGCTTCATGTAAACACAGATGTTTTACATCTCTAAACCCCAGGTAATGGATGTTGTGTATTAAAATGTGTATATACAGAACACAGAAGGAGAAGATGAAGGAGTATGTCACTTTGTTTTCTTTACTCGTACTAATTCAATTTTTTTTCTTTGCTGTACCAGAGTCCTCTTTCTTAAAAGTTTCACCTTACAATACAGTATTTATGCTATTTTTAAGTTGAAAATGGCATTTTACTTAGAAGCGCCACCTTTCTTTACCTGTGGACGTTTGTCATAACTTGCTGAACTTGGTCCTTAAAAAAAACACCCAGCACATGACAAGCCAAAAAAGCAATTTAAGAAACAGCTCAGCTCTTAAAGTTAATTTTATTCAATGGTAATGAGCCAACAAGTAACAACCCCTTACTGTAAGCTACAAGCTGAAGGAGGAAAGTCCAAATCACTCTTTTTATTGTGTAAAAGAGATCTCAGGGTTTTTCTTTAACTACCTAATTCTAATAAAAAAGCAATTCTCAAAATATCCCCCTGCAGTGCCTGTAAACATGAACAAGTTCTTGTCACTTATCCTTTTCAGCTGATTGCTCAAACAGGGGAGGGGAGAGGGTGGAGATGAGAGAAAGAGTAGTGCTAAAAGTCAGCTATCCACAGCTGACAAACCAGAAGAATTGAGCACTTTATATATATATATAGCAGACCAATGCTCAAACTAATACGCAGCCCAGCTCTCCAGCATCTTTTTCTTCCTAAGACAGAAAAAGAGTTCTAGTTAGATAACAATGAGGATTAGTTCCAGTTACCTTTCAGTGATTGCAAGAATTACCAAAAAATTGCCCCTGGAACCACACCTTGACTGTGAGAAATTACTACAACTCTGAGCCTGTTTTATCTACAGGTGTGTTGCTGCCTCTGGCAAAGAGGACAACGTTGCTTCGCTATCTATCTCACATTTCTAGGTCAGTATTCGAGCCCCTGGGCTCCCCGATAACCCTCAGTCTGCACTGAGGGTGGGGAATCCAAGGGGTCCACTTTGAGAGGATCCTCAGAAAATCTGAGCTTGGTTTAGGTTACAGCAAGCCCAGCAAGGTCAGGCAGTAACTGACTTTTTAAATCTTGCAATGCAAAGTGGTTAAACCAGGAAGTCCTTTCATTATATAGCTATTTAAATAAAAAATAAATCTTGGTAATGTATCTCCTGTGCATATCCCCCCCCTAAAAAACCCTTTCAATTAAACTTACACTTCTTCCTTGAATACGTCCAGTGTGATGTTTGCATCATCTCCAAGCTGCAGATCTTCAGTGCTCAGTCCCAAAGTTTTAAGAGCTAAATTGAGGGAAAAAGAATTTCCTGTGCAAGTCTTGAAAAGATGAATTTAACATCTTAAAGCGGCCTAGATAGAATAAAAGGTAAACATACGTAACTTCCTCAACTTTTCAAGTTACCAGGCTGTGTATCGGTGGATGTACAGATGCTTTTAAGCTGTACGTATGCCTGGCTTTGGAACCATTTCAATAATGCCCTCCAAAAATCCACAACGCACCTTCCCTGTACTGCGCCGCCGTGATGTGGCCTTGCCCCACAACGTCCAGCAACTCGAACATGGCGGTCAGGTTGGCCTCGTCCATCAGGTAGGGGTACTCCCCCTCCGCCCGTTTTCCAGCCTTCACCCTTTCCAGCGCCTGGATCAGGAACTCGCGTGGTTTTTCTGCAAAGAGGTAAAATTGCCCACAGCTGCGGGTCACACCCCCCCTCCTCCCTCATCCCCACCCGCCTTGTGGCGGCGCGGGGCGGGGGGGAAGGCCCTACAGCAGCCCGGGCCGAGACAAGCCGCCCTGCCCGGCCCTGCGGTGCCGCACCGGGTCGGTGGTAGATGAGGAGCGCGGCGAGGCGGTGGAGCAGCTCGGGGATCCGGTGCCGCTCCAGGTAGTCTCGGCACTCCCGCTCGCCCGCCGCCGCCGCCATCCCGCGTTGCCGGGAGACGGCGCGCGCGCCCCGCCCCCGCGCGCCGGCCGTTAACCCGTCCCCGCCCCCGCGCGCCGGCCGTTAAACCGTCCCCGCCCCGCCTGAGGTGATCCCAGCGGGCCGGGCTGAGGGAGCCGGAGGGTGAGCGGGCTGGGGGGAGAGCGGGAGCCGCTGGTACGCGGAGCCGGGGGGAGGCCTCAGGGAAGGCAACGGCACAGGGAAACGGCGGCGGGAGGGCTGCGTCAGCGGGCTCGGGGCGTCAGGCGGAGTAAAGGGGGTTACCGAGGCTTCACCGACCGCGCGGCCCCTGCCGCAACGGGCAGAGAGCGGGAAGCAAAAGTTAATTTGCCCAGGTGTCATCGCGTTAGCACTAGAACAGAAAAAAAAATCACCGCTTCCAGCCAAGTTACTGGTTTGTGCCGCGGTGCCAGTAATTCACGGGGAAAGTAAATCACACGCTGGTGTTTTTAACATTTATGCAGGTCTTCTCGCTTTCAGCCACGTTTCCTTCCACACGCGGTAACGCTTTCGCTTCTCCCCGTACCCGGTCCGCTACCTGGGCTCCCTTCCTGAAGGGAGCTTGGTTAAGCCGAGTCAACGTGGGGGTGTTACAAGATGTTTAGACGCCACCTAGTGGAACGTGGGCGTGTGTGCTCAATTATGGTGTGATAACCCAAAATCAAGGGTTAACAGCTAAAGAGTAAGAAAGGCTACCTTTTAAAATAGTTTTGCAGCATAGCCTGTGCAAACACATCAAAGAACATTTTTATTGTATTACTCCGTGTGAACACGAGAAAGATAGTAAATTAAAGTGCCCCACTAAAAAAAAAAAGTTCAAACAAACCTAAAAAGACATAATCTTCTGCTATCAAATAAAAATAGATAGAGATAAATGAGCATAGAGTAAAGAAAAAACCCCCAGTCTTGCTGTGAAAAGTCTAGCACTGTGTTTAACTATTTGCCAAAGCTAAAATATCACATGCCAGTAATATAATCCACCTTTTTTTTTTTTTTTTTTTTTTTTTTTAGAGAATGACTGGGAGAACGGCAGCATCCAAAACTGCAAAGATTGTACAGCCGTGCTTTGTCTATAGTCTTTAGCATATTAAACTGATTATGCTACCTGCTTCAAGCCTTCATTGGGCTAGAGGAGGTTATGTACCTCGACAGCAACCTGGCAATGATGAAAACCTCCTTTTCCTAAGGAATACAATTAATAGGTACTGAACCCATTTCTGCATTTGACTTTTCTATGTCTTTCAATAGAGTCTGCAAAGCACTACCAAAGTTTTTTTCCTAAAGAAGAGCAATAGGAGAAAGTGTAGATTGTAGTGCAGAGAAGTACAAACGAGACTGAGCTGGCCAGCAGAGGAGAAATAAAGACATGGAAAATATTGGACTGGAGAGAAAAGTAGGTAAGTCAGTGTTTGGGGCAGGGAAAACAGCATTTGGCAAAGAAAGTTTCTCCTTCAGTGGTTAACAAAGGTAGCCAGTATGAAACACATATCTTGAAGGCTGAAAGTTTAAAAATAATCACTGGAATTACAGGTTGAAGTGTGTTTCTCTGAGGAATGGTTCAAAAATCACTAAGCAGAGCAAACCGTGTTTGATTTACAACTAGGAATATTATTTTTTTTTCATTTCATTTAACTGTTAAGAAAGCACAATTTATTTCTTTGATAAAAGCCATACTGCTATGTATCCTGTAGGGAGTTTATTATCCTCAGTTCATATAATGATTTATCAGCTATATATATTAGTCCTAAAAGTACAACAGTTTAGGACAATTTGTGAGAAGCTCACATGTCCTATTGGAAGAGAACTTGGACTTCTGGTGGCTAAGAAAAGCAGGATTTGACAAACATCTCAAATTTTTCTGGTTCCATTACAGAGATGCTGCTAGTTCAGTTTTAATCAATAATTCAAGGATCAAATCTATTTTCATGTGTTCAAAGTGTCCTGGTTACTTAAAATTGAATTTTGTTGAAAGACTTAATACCTGTTGTGGCAGAAGCTGAGCCTTTTGCAGAATATCATTAATAACTTAAGCATTTTATCTAATTGCATAGGACTAAATAGACTATCAGGAGTCTTACGGGTTGTAATGAAGAGGAACAGGGACTGCAGGTCAGATACGAAGCTGGTTGCAGAACAAGCATTTGTCTTGCAGAGGAAAACAGGCAGATGGAAATGTTCTTTTCTAAATGGGAGTGTTAGAGGACTGAAGTCTAGGGCTGTGGGAAGAGACAGGAGCAATAAGGGCTGGGAAAAATGCCTGGGTCTGCCATACGCTTACTGTCAACATGCTGAGTGGCAGCTCCTTTAATGCTTTACTTGCTTCTGCTCCTCAACATGGACATTAACAAGCACTCTGTGTTAGGGAGCACAGCGTGTGGCTGCAGAGATTGGGTCCTGCCACTTCTGTAGCTGCTTTGGGATTGCTACACTGCACCCTTCCTTTGTGTAGCCTCGAGGACTTCCAAGATACAGGCAAGTTCCAGGGGATTTACATTATACATTTATAAGGGAAAGTGCTAAAATAAGCAGAAATATTAAGCTTCTAGGTATTCATTATCTCAACATCTAGAACCACCACCACCCTCCTTTTTTTTTTTTTTTTTTTTTTTTTTTTTTTTTTAACTGTATAAAATGGCAGAATAATTGGGGTTGGAATGCACCTCTGGTGATTGAGTGGTCAATCAGCCCCCCAACCCCTCCGAACTGGGCTAAAGTATGCATCAGGTTGTCCACAGCCTTCTCCAGTCAGGTTTTTACTGTCTCCAAGGTGGAGATTCCACAACATCACTTGGTCCCTGTTCCAGTACATTGCAAAGAATTTTTGCCTTGTATCTAATGAGAGTTCCCCTTGCTCTACCTTATGTCTATTGCTTTTTGCCCTCTTCTTGTGCATTACCAGGAAGAGTCTGTCTCCAACTTTTCTACAATCACCCGTCTTGTTAAAGACAGCACTTGGACCCCTCTCCCCCTGTAATCTTCTTGTCTTAAAACTGAACAAAACATTTTTTTAGCATATCCTTATTTGTCATATGTTTTAGCTACCAGTCATCTTTGTAGTGCTCCACTGGACTCACTTCAGTATGCATGCTGCATCCTGTACGGTAGAGGCCTAAACTGGACAGGGTTCTGCAGATGCAGTCTCACAAGTGCCAAAACAAAGGGTGACAATAGTTCCCTCTGACTGCTGCCTACAGCCTTTCTGCTGCAGCTTGAGCTGTGGTTAGCTTTCAGCACCCTTGGAGCCCGGACTCACATTCAGCGTGTCCACCTACCCCTTTTCCTGCAAAGTTGCTTTCTTGCCAGTCGGCCCCCAGCTTGTTCAATGACATGGGGTTATGCCTCCCTCCCAGGTGTAGGACTCTGCATTTGTCTGTTGCAGCTAATGAGGTTCCTGTCAGCCCAACTTTCTAGCCTGTTGAGGTCCCTCTGAAGGACAGCCCTGCCCCTACTCTGTCAATCACCTCCATACGCTCCAATTTGTTGTTATCCATGAACTTGCAACTTATCCCAACATCCAGGATGGTAATGAAACCCTTCAGCATTATTTTGCCCAGTATTATCTCCTCAGGCCTGTTTTGTAGTACCAACCAACCAACCAACTGGACTTCAAATGGCTGACCACAACCCTCTGAGCCCTGCCCTTGAACTGATTTTCCACCCACCTCATAGATCACTCCTTAAACCCATATCTCCCCAATTAATTGTAAGAATACAAACAGCTGGTGTCAGAAGCCTTGCTAAAGCCAAAGGAAAAAGCATTCACTGCTCCCTGGCCACTACCTGAAAGCAGTCATTTCATCACAGAAGGCAAATGGTTTGGTCAGGAATGGTTTTCCCTTGGTAAATTCATATTGTCTGGACATGGCTTCGAGGAGAGTTTGTTCCATAATCTGCCTGGGATTGAGGTTGGGATGAGCAGCCTACAGTCCCCTGGGTCCTTCTTGAAAATGGGCATTTGCTGTCTTGTAGTCCTTGGAAACCCTGCACCCTGTTCACCATAGGATGGTTCACTTTCAAGGATGATGGCACCCTTGTAACGGGTCTGCATCCTTGAATCGAGTACAGGCTTTCCCATAGACTGGTACAGATCCAGTGTAAGCAGTCCTTAACTCAGGCTGCCTCTTACACGGGTAGTACCTCACTCCCCAGGCTCTCCCCAGAAAGCTGAGCACAGACCTCTTGAGTTAAAACCTAAAGCAAAGGTATCACCGAGTGTACCTCAGTTGTCACCTTTGTCACTAGGTTACCCACCCCATGTGGTGGGGGCCACATTTTCCTTACCCTTCCTTCCATATTAACATACAGAAAGCGTCCTTTATATCCCTCACTAATTCCAAGTGCGTCTTTGGTTTTCCTAGTTCTGCTTCAGCAAGCCTAGGCAGTGTTTCTGTATTCCTGCAGGGTAGCCCACACCTCCTTCCACAGTCTGTGTACTCACCTTTTGGATTCGGTATCAGTCAGGAGTTCCACATTCAGCCATGCTTGCCTTCTCCCATGTCTGCTCAACTTCCTGCATATCAGAATGGACTGTTCTTGTGCTTCAGCTAGCTCCCCTGGGCCCTTTGGGGCAGTCTTCTGGGGGAGTCTGCCAAAAAAATGTCTGCAGAAGACAAAGTCTGCTCTCCTAAATTCCAGGGTTGCAAGTGTTTATCTTCCTCACTTCCCTCCAGAATCTTAAGCTTTGCTGTCTCGTAGTCACTGCTGCCAAGGCTGCCACCAATGTCAACGTTCTCAGCCAGCCCTTCCTTATGTGTGAGTAGCATGTCTAGCATAGCCAGGCTCAGCTTGCTGAGCACTGCTGTCAAGAAACTGTCCTTGGTGTAGTACAGAAGTAGCCTGGATCACTTGTGCCTCCAGCACGTTGTCATCTCCTCCCCTTCCAAGAGCAAGAGCCTGCAGTCATAAGGCTAAGCTGTGAATGTTGGGGTTTTTTCCCCAGTCAACTGCAAAATAAAGACTAAACCTGCCATCAAAAAACATATACTGAGAAAAATTAA